CGCGTCCACGTCCTGCGGTGGTTCCAGGAGTCGCACCGCGTCCACGTCCAGCGGTGGTCCCAGGAGTTGCACCACATCCACGCTCAGCTGGGTTCCCACTTTCGCCTTTGCAAGAGGCTCCGCCTGTCCACGTCCAGCCGTGGTCCCAGGGGACGCATCGCATCCATGTCCAGCGGTGGTCCCAGGGGACGCATCGCATCCATGTCCAGCGGTGGTCCCAGAGGCCGCACCACATCCACGTCCAGCAGAGATTCCACCTTCGTCTTTCCAAGAGACTCCGCCTGTCCAGGTCCAGCGGTAGTTCCCGTGGTTGCACCGCATCCATGTCCAGCGGTGGTCCCAGGGGCTGCACCACATCCATGTCCAGTGGGGGTTCCACCTCCGTCTGTCCAGGAGGCTCCGTCTGTCCAGGTCCAGCAGTGGTCCCAGGGGTCGCAACGCATTCTCGTCCAGCGGTGGTTCCAGTGGTGGTTCCAGCGGTCGCACCGCATCCTCGTCCAACGGTGGTCCCGGAGGTCGCGCCACATCCTCGTCCAGCGGTGGTTCCAGAGGACACTCTGCATCTTGGGTCCAAACCTCCTGGTCATCATCGTGACAGAAAGGACCGACCACACCTGGACCCAGCAGAAACCTGGACTCCACCAAAAACGCTTCATTACAGGTACTGTGGAGATCCAGTGACTTGCCGTACCTACATCAAAGCCTGCGCTCGTTACATGGACCTGGCATCCTTGGAGCATGACAAAGTCTCCTTCATGGTGTCTAATTTGGGTGGTAGCGCCCTGGTGTGGGCCATGGACTATCTTGCTGTACGTCCATCTAGATCGGTGTCCTTCTGGGAGTTTGCCAGGCGTCTGCAGGAGACCTTTTGCCTTGGTTCATCTCCTGTTCATGCCTCCGACTCCACACCCCCGGGATACCAAGTCACCTCTTCCATATCTACTCCATATTGGCCCCGAGTCATCGTTATCCTCCTGCTACCATCAGATCCGGTTTACTCTCCTCTTCCCCTGTTCCTTTTGACGCCGTCTCAACCTCCACACGACGCCAACGCCGTAACCGTCGCCAACGACCTTAGTCCAAGCTCCACGCGCCCGCTCCACACCCAGGTCCCACGGTGGTCTCAGAGGATGCTCCACATTCAGTTCTGGTGGGGGTCCCAGAGGACGCTCCACATCCAGTTCCGGTGGGGGTCCCAGAGGATGCTCCACATCCAGTTTAGGTGGGGGTCCCAGAGGACACTCCGTATCCTGTTCCGGTGGTGGTCCCAGAGTACGCTCCACATCCAGTTCCGGTGGTGGTCCCAGAGGATACTCAGCATCCCGTTCTGGTGGCGGTCTTGGAGGACGCTCCGCATCACGTTCCGGTGGTGGACCCAGAGGACGCTCCGCATCCTGGTGCTGTGGCGGTTCCAGAGGACGCTCCGCATCCTGGTCCCGGTGGTGGTCCCAGAAGACGCTCCACATCCAGTTCCGGTGGTGGTCCCAGAAGACACTCAGCATCCAGTTCCTGCGGTGGTTCCAGAGGATGCTCCGCATCCCGTTCTGGTGGTGGTCCCAGAGGACGCGCCGCATCTTGGTCCCGCAGCGGTTCCAGAGGACAATCCGCACCCCGTTCCAGTGGCAGTTCCTAAGGCCGCTCCGCATCCTGGTCCCGCGGCGGTTCCAGAGGACGCTCCACATCCAGTTCCGGTGGTGGTCTCAGAAGACGCTCCACATCCAGGTCCCGCTGTGGTCCCAGAGGACGCTCCACATTCAGTTCCAGTGGTGGTCCCAGAGGATGCTCCACATCCAGTTCCGGTGGTGGTCTCAGAAGACGCTCCGCATCCAGGTCCCGCGGTGGTCCCAGAGGACACTCCGCATCCAGTTCCAGTGGTGGTCCCAGAGGATGCTCCGCATCCAATTCCGGTGGTGGTTCCTGAAGACGCTCCACATCCAGTTCCCGTGGTGGTTCCAGAGGACGCTCCACATCGAGTTCCGGTGGTGGTCTCAGAAGACGCACCGCATCCAGGTCCCGCGGTGGTCCCAGAGGACGCTCCTCATCCAGTTCCAGTGGTGGTCCCAGAGGATGCTCAGCATCCAGTCCGGTGGTGGTCCCAGAAGACGCTCCGCATCCAGTTCCCGCGGTGGTCCCAGAGGACACTCCGCATCCCGTTCCGGCGGTGGTCCCAGAGGACGCTCCGCATCCCGTTCCGGCGGTGGTCCCAGAGGACGCTCCGCAGCCAGATTCAGCGGTGGTTACAGAGGTTGCACCACATCCTCGACTAGCGACGGTCCAGCCTGCCCAGCCTGTCCAAGAGGCTCCGCCTCCAGTCCCATCAGCGCCACGTCGGGCACCTTGGTCCACGCCTGCTGCTGCAGAGTCCAGAGTCTACGTCCCCGCCTCAGTCTCCAGTCCGGTCATCGGCAGCCATTACCGCCGGTCCGGTCCTCGCCCTTCGCCGCCGGCCTCCTAGGGCCCTCTGGCCACTGCCTCGTCGTCGCCGGCCCCCAGACTCCCCTGGTCGTGTCTCCTGGTTCCCCGTCACCAACTCCTCTGGTTGTGGCTCCTGGTTCCCCGTCGTCGGCCCCCAAGACTCCCCTGGTCTTGGCCCCTGGTTTCCCGTCACCGAACCCCAAGACTCCCCAGGTCCCGGCTCCTGGTTCCCCGTCGCCGGCCCCCAAGGGTCCTCCGGTTTCTGCTGGGTTCCCCGACTCCTGAGATCCTGCCGGCTCCTGCATCTCCATCTCCGGTCCCCCATCCCCGGTCTCTCTGACTCCTCTGGCCCTCCTTCCTGGTCCCTCTCCTCCCGCCCTGCTTTGGCCCTCCCTCCTGGTCCCCCTCCTCCCGCCCTGCTCTGGTTTCCTGTGGGCATCTGGTATCCACCCTTGTGGGGGTGGGGGTGGGGGGGTTCTGTCATGACTCCCAGTCTTTCACCCTCCTCTGCCTCTGCTGCCTCCTCATCGAGCCCTCAGCCACTTTATTCATCTCACCTGTCCCTGTCATCAGCTCATTACACACACCTGCTCCCCCTGCTACATATTCACCAGCCAGCCACCAGACCCCTGCCAGATTATTGAACACTTTTTGTTAGTAGATCTTCCAGCCTTTTACCTTGCCTGATCACTGCCTCTGGATCTCATTTTCACGCCTGATCCCTGCCTAGTACTCTGCCTGCCATCACCCTCACCTGTCTTTGACCTGTTCACCAGCCTGCTCCATTTACCTGCTTCGCCTCGTTCTGGTTTTTGACCAACGCTTTCTCTCCGACTCTGTCTCCTGCCTCGCCCTCCTCGGGTACACCACATCAAATAAAGACCTTTTATTGAACTTTTACTGTGTTTGGTTTCATCACGGGTCTTCCAAGTTCTGATCATGACAATATCCATGTGTTTTCTCTCTTTGATGACATATGTATTATTACTAGTATTGCAATTTGCCCTGTAGTCATCCTTTGTCGTAAAGTATAAGCAAACTTTCGAGCGTTTGTGCCCTTAGGCCATGTTTCCTGCTGAGTAAATGCGCACGCTACACAATGTGCGAGGTGTCGACTGGAATTGATAAGGGAATCAAACAATTCCTAGGAATTTGAACAGCGAGAACTGGTTTTCAATAAGTACCGGTTTTCGATTCCCACTCCAGATCTTAATAATAAATAATTTTAATCAGCAGTCAGGTAGCAATCAGAAGTATGGCAGTATGATCAGAAAATGAGTTACCTCTCTTATTGAGTAGTACAAAATGTGTTTTTTAGTGAACGTTTGTGTCCTAAATGTTTCATTAAGCGTTTGATGGTACATGGTAAAGGGTCTGTATTTCTATAGCACCTTCCAAAGTCCTACGACCTATTAACACACAACGCTGAACACATCAGGGTGTTTGTTTGCAGCTCGGAGGTACGTGTGTGCGCAGTGCAGCAGACACTGTTAGTTCGACTGGATATGTACTCCAGATATCTATAATTCAACTGCTCCTAGTAGAAATTAACATCCCAGTTATCTATAGAACATTCGATGTCCATTCTAGATAGGAAGAATCATTTAGGAAAAAACTCTTGTATGCAACTGCGTTATAGAACATAAAAGTTTTGTCACAGTTACTATGCTAGGTAACTAATTACTCCTAAAATGTTGTAACTGAGTCACTAACTCAATTACTTTTGGGAAAAAGTAATTTGTAACTATAACTAATTACTTTTTAACATAAGATGCCCAACACTGCTCGCCAACGTGCCCCACTTCCAGACCAGAGGAGGGCACCTGTGACCTATGCTCAGGCGAGGGACATTGTTTCCATTTCAATTAAACCTCATAAGGGGTCTTCGAGCTGCACTTTGTCTTTGCCCTCACCTAGGACCTGATCCTCATATTGCTTTCCATTAATTTGCACAAGGATCAGAATCAACATTACTGTTATTGCACCAGCTTCTGGAACAAGGAAATTTGACTTGACACCACAACCTGACCAAGAGATACACACAAACAAATAGTCAAAGCAGGTTCAGGTGGGCTATGCTGCATGCAAGTTCAGAAAAAGTGGCCAGATCAGAGCATCTAGCTTGAGATTCATCTTGAGCAACGTCTGAGTCTGGGAGTTCAAAGCATGGCAAATACTTTCTTTGAGCTCAGGAGCTCTGCCAATTGCTCCCGTCAAGCCTCTAAATTTTCCAATTCACCAGGTTACTGCCATCCCCAAACTGCAGGAACCGGTAATCATAAACCCAAAAATGTAAACATCTTCTGAGTCTTCCACGGAAAGCAACGAGAGGCACACAATCTTCAACTCGCTCCAAGAATCCATAATGTATCCAAAAGGGTGTGTTCCGTCCGAACTTGAGGAAGCTCCCTTCTTCATCTTTAATGTGGAAAAAAAGAAAAGATCAATTTCATTCAGAGATCAGCTCACCAGATCCATGGTTTAGACATTTTCAGAAGAAATGCAAAGAAGTAGCCCAGTGAACTAGACCACACTTTACAAAGCAAGAGTTTTATATAATATATTTATTTGATCTGGCTTGTTAGGCTAGCAGAGAGGCACTCTGATGGACAAGACAGGGCAAAGAGCCTTGGAATGAAAAGACTGAGAAGAAAAACGAGAAAATCATCTGCACTCCTCAAGAGGTGGAATTAAAAGAATAATCAAATGGTGAATATTATGAGCTGTTTTTAACTGCTCTTTATTGTGTTTCAGGAACTAATGGAGTGTGACCATACACTCTTTGGGCACCTTTCTGCTCCAGACGGATGTTTCCTGGAGATGAACGTGGATTCACTGTTACTGCTGCTCAGTCAGTTAAATAAAATCACAATGGAATCTTTGGTGAAAGGATGCACAGCTGGAGGATGCAAAAGGAGGACAATAAACCTTAAGGTAAGAAAGTGTTGGATTTGCACTCAAAATATCATTTTCTTCACGGTCTTTATGACAGCATTGTTTGAATTTTTCTAATGCTTTTTCAAATAAATGAACTGCATTCGCATGTCTTCTCTGTTAAAATATTGACTTCTGAGAACCAACCGGAAAAGCTGAGAAAACTTTGATGAATTGATGAAGACATTTTTCTCATCTATCCTGGAGGAAGCTGTAACTATAGGATGTATATGATTCATGTTGCTGGTAAAAACTCAGCAAACCATGTCTGCAGTCCACACTTTAAAAGGTCTGTGATCTGTTGAGATGAAGTGTGAAATACAGATTCCTGTTCATGCGGCGGTTTTCAGATGCCTCCATCAAGTCATCAGAAACATATTTGTGTTTTATCATGCTGGATTAGCCTTTCATGTTGGCCTTGGCTTGGTGATTTTCTAAAATCAAAGTACAAAATGAGCCCCATTTGTTCTTCTCTCTTTGCACTATAAAGCTGTTACGGTAATGAATGGATCAAGTGCATCAAAGAGAAGCTGTAAATGTACGGAGATGGGATGTTCAACTGAAGCATTTCCTCATTAAACTGTTAAAAAGTGCTGAAAATGAATGTTCTTCTGCTGTTTAAGCTAATTACTGGAGCTCTGCACAGCTTGTTCTTATTTAGAGATGCTAAAATATATTTAACGATTCAAAAAATTAAACGTTTATAAATTGACACAGTTTAGCTATTTTTCACTTTGTATATTTCAAAAAGAATCAAGTTTGGAGGCTTTCAAACTTATTGTTGCTGCAGAAATGGGCAATGTGGTCATTAGTGCCTCTTTTTGAGTAGTTGTTGCATGTGGCATGCAATTAGCTTAGAGGAAATGAGTGTTTCTTGTTTGCATTTCAGGAAATGCAGATAATTACCTGAATGATTTGCAGCTTGGGAGAATTTCTTGTTAACCTTATTTGTTAATGATCAGCTACCTCCTTCCCCCTTGGTTTAATACTGCTTATTACTGCTTTTGGAGCTCTTCTGAATAAGATACATTTTAATGTCAAAGGCTGTTGGATTGCAGAATTAACAGAAAAATGAGTTTTTTGTCATAGAAAGCTGATTTAAGTGATCAAAGCAGCTCCCGTAGATCTGATCATGGTGGTCACCTTGTGGCTGGATTGAAAGCCAATGGCCTCCTAAACAAGCAGTTATTTGAACTGCAGTGTAAGAAATGTCATGCTTCAGTTACAGAATGTACTGATAAAGATAGTTTGATTTATCTGTCTGACAGTTTTATTTAGGGTTTCAGTGCAAATGCATGACCTGGATGGGTTTTGCACACAAAAATGCTGATTGATGGTGAAGCATCTGTGTTTTTTGTCCTCAAATCTCATGTGTGACTTTATCTCATCTCAACTCAGCCATGGTTTTGCTTGTATTAAAAAGAAATTGCACATTAAAAAAAGAGTGAAGCCTTATTATGATAAAAACTTTGATAGAGAAAATCCAAGATTTTATTTTAAAAGAACTTCTATTAATTTACTCTAAGGAAAAATCTTAATTTGTACAAAATGTTCAATTATTAAATTATCATGATGATGATGATGATGATGATGACTGAGAGCAGTGCACACCACTTGATCCAAGAACGCATCCTAGCCAGTAGTGTGTGAATTGGTGTAGTGACCGAAGGGGGCGCTGTGCTGAGCTGATGAGCAGCCTCAGCTCCACACCACACACACACATACACACACTCTCACATACAGCTATGGAGAGCGGACTGGCCTCTTTGTTGTTTTTAAAGTCCTGCTCGTCGACACTATGTCAGTGTTTGCGGTGACTTGTATCTGCCCAGCTGTCCGACGCAAACGGAAGCGGCCGGAAGCGTTTTACCGGTAAAGTATGTATCACTTTCCCCCCTCCCTCTGACAGAACTGCGGTAGTCGGGAAATAAGATCATCGCTTTTCTTTGCAGCTATAAGTCGGTTCAGGGATCGGCGCGGGATCCCCGCGGTGTCCTCTCGTGTCACTTGCGCTCGTAGTGTTGTGCGGTCAGTTTGGCGGCTGTTTGCGGGTCGCAGCTCAGTCAGGTATTAATAGTGTGACAAAGTTGTGCACTTGTCGGTGGGCTGCTGGGAGGCCTGGCTCTCGCTCTCGGAGTGTGTGCACGGAGTTTGTTTCGGCTACCCTCCCCCACTCTCCGCTGCTTGCTGAAGACACGTGAACGTGAGGAGATGCTGCCTCAGTTTCATCTCTAAATGACATTTCCAGAGCTCGACCTTTTGTCTGGATCAGGAGGAGAGGGACCGCCCTCACGGGGGGATCCGACTGCGTGCATCCTCTCAGGTGGAGCGATGCGAGCCAGCAGGTGATGGATTCAGCATCATTTCACTCCAGCTGTTCTCCCGCACGTTTCCGGTTACAGGATTATGGTTTAAACCCTCTGCGCATCTGGCCTCGTGCACCGTGCGGGCGCTCTAGCGTGGTGCGTCATTTGAGCATGTTGATCCTGGCATTGTTCAATCAGGATAATCATTTGGATAGGTATTGGACCAGACAGAGAGTGGGTGTGCCCTAAAGGAAAGGGTGCTGGCAACCATTACAAACATGTCTCATGGACCCACAGAGAGTTAACCCTGCCGCCTGCCTTTATGAAATCTTAATAATCGTCTTTCTCTCTCTCCCAGCATTCATTTTTAATCCCATTAGAGTCAACAAGTGCTCGGAGCTATAAATAGGGAAGTCATTTACACAGAAAACGCAAGAAGAAGTCAGGGTTGGGTGCTGAAAGATTCCTATTTTTTATAAATCCCCTTTTTAAAACCAGGATTTGAATCTGCCAGAAGCTGTCAGAAAAGATGGGCTTCGGTGTGTGTGTGTGTGTGTGTGTGTGTGGATTGACGAAGTCAGCTGTGGCCATATTACACCTTAAATTAAATACCGAGCGTGTATCTGGGAAGCTTAGACATGAGCTCTGTGCTCCAGTAAAAGAATAATAATAATAAAAAAATGTCCTTGAAAAGTTCTTTCCCTAAATGATCTGGTTTACCACTCAGCTGGGCTGTAACACGGGGAGTTAATTAAAATCAGATTCTGGCTGTGCCCCGGTATCAGTAGCAGTAAATAACAATAGCTGTTCCGTTTGGCTCAGTATAGAGTCCTCCACTGACTTGATGCTCTATAGCTGTGTGAGGTGGTGTGTCCTGCGCATGTAAATCAAAACGTTAATACTGATGAATTAGTGCTGCATAATCATGCAGCCTCCAGACTTTCAGACCACATTAAACGCTTAATGACTTTAAATTTCAGTTTCTGATCAGGTTTGCATTAATTCAAGCTTGATGCCAGTTTTCTGTGTTTGGAATAATAATCCCAGTGGCTTTGTTTCCACTATAATGTTTAGGTTAAACACAATAGTGCAGGGCTGTGAGTGTAACAATACGCACTTCTTTTGTTTTTCATTTTGATTTTGACACGTAAATTTGTACATTTGCTTTAATTCAGCCATTTTGGAGGCTTTTCCAATTCTTTGGATTATTTGGGATTATTTGAGAGCAGAATTCATGGTTCCATCAGTTACAGCAAGTGTCTCTACCACCATCATGCTGTGGACTGGCTCTAGGAGGGTGCACGTTGTTGTCAGACAGGTTGTAATAACTCTATATCAGTAACCAGGTCTGGGTGTTGCTGGTGAAGCTGCTCAGTTTTCCAAATATTGTGGTTAATCCCAGTTTAATTATGCTTTTAAATAGGGCCAGCTTGAGTTGGTTGCCTTTGTCTGATATTGAAATGTGCTTTCTCTTCTGAAATACTTAAGAAAAGAAGGGTGAAATACCTTGTTGATGCACCTCCAAAAGAGTCCTTCCTATTGGTGTCATTTCACCATTAGGCATCGATGTGTTAATGAATCGGAAGAAAGACGTGCTTCATTCGGGTTTTTTATGATTAGTGAAATGAAAAATAATCCAAAATGCAGAGCGTGCATGAGAGAACGAGCTCATTGTGTTCAAGTGGTACAGGAGTAATGCTGACAAGCACCGATCTGCCTTCCAATCATGTGAGCAGCGTCTCATTACATATTCTTCTCCCTTGCAGGAGATTTCTCACCGAGGCATAAGTAGAATCCTGGATGGAGTAGCTGTGCGGTTTGGGCACTACGGGGACGTGGATTTTGGATGCTGGGACTATGAACATAAGCGACCAGAGGGGCTGCATAGCAGACCTGGGTGGCAGCTTCACTGAGGATGCTCCCAGACCTCCGGTCCCCGGGGAAGAAGGAGAGCTGGTGTGCAGCAGCGGTCGCCAGCATGGCAACCCTGGCTTCTCCTCCAAGAACGAGAGCTCCAAATGTGAAGCGTCTGTGGCTACACCCAGGCGACCAGACTTGGATCTGGGTTACGAGCCAGAGGGCAGTGCTTCTCCAACACCACCCTACTTAAAATGGGCAGAGTCTCTTCATTCCCTCCTGGACGATCAGGATGGCATCCATCTGTTCAGGAAGTTCCTCAAGCAGGAGGACTGCGCTGACATGTTGGACTTCTGGTTTGCATGCAGCGGCTTTCGCAAACTGGAAGCTAACGAGGGGAACGAGGAGAAGAAGGTGAAACTGGCAAAAGCCATCTATAAAAAGTACATCCAGGACAATAATGGGATTGTCTCCAGGCAGATCAAACCAGCGACTAAGTTATTCATCAAAGATTGTGTTATGAAGCTTCACATTGATCCTGCGATGTTTGACCAGGCTCAGACTGAGATACAGACCATGATGGAGGAAAACACTTACCCTCTCTTCCTAAAGTCTGATTTATATTTGGAATACACACGGACGGGAGGAAAGAGCCCTAAGCTGTACAGCGAGCAGAGCCCCGCTTCGGGGAACGGGAAGGGACTGTCGGGTTATTTACCAACTTTAAATGAATACGAGGAGTGGAGATGTGACCGAGGGCCGGAGGAGCAGCCCGAGTGTGACCCGACGCCAAGCAGCCAGCTCACTCAGAAACTCTTAATGGAGACACAGCGAGTTGGCAACAACTCAAGATTCCAGGACAGCCTCGAGTACAGGTAAATGCTCCCGAGCGTCTATAAAAACCCTCCTCGGCTCAGGCTGCAGGTTTCCCCTGCAAACTGCTGAATTAGAAATAAAGCTGAAACCTCACATCAGCGGTGAGCACCGCCACGAGTTTGAGATGAAAACAGAGCGGAGCTCTGGGACAGCAGAGCTGATGGTGTGTGAAGTTTAGCATCAGCACCTCGGGTGAGGAAAAGTCGGAAGCTGAAGTGGTTTCTTTTCCTGTCTGGACGCTGGGACAGAAGTCGGTCGTTTTCTGTGTTGGGTTTCAGGGGATTGGTCCGCTGGACAGAGCTTTACAGGGGGGGGGGGGGGGGGGGGGTTGAAATGAAGCGTGTTGATCCTCAACTGGTTCTTTTTCTGTTTGGGGAGTTTTTCCTTGAAATACAAGAAAAACAACATCTTTCAATGATCTACAGTTTCTGTAATGTCGCAAGATTAATTTTATTAATTAATGATCCTTCCTATCAGTAAAAAAAATAATTTCCACCCATTATGATTGAAGGTCTTACAATTAATCTGCGTGATTTAGAGGTGATATATGCTCAGTAATCTGGTAGACTGAGTCGGACTGAATGTTTAGTTTTTAATTAATGAAAATGGCTTGCTTTTAGCGCCCCCTAGAGTTCGTTTGTAGAACCAAAAGCAAAACATATCTTCTGGCTGCCTCATCGTCTTTTTAACACCTTGTTCTGAAAGCTGAAATGTCTCCCCAGACTTCTTTAGTGTCTACAGGAGTGATTCATCATTAAATGAAACAAATCAGCTGTGTTCATGATCTAAAACATGCAGGAAATGTGCTGGAAGCAGACCGCAACGCCAGGTATGTCAACTACATTTTTTTATAAGCCCAGAACCTGACCGGCACTCTGAAGTTTCAAATGCGGTACTCTGGCCACAGAGGGCGGAGGGGGTCTGAGTGACATTTCATCAACCCCAAAGGGTCGTTTTAACACATACTGGGCCAAGAAAATGATATGAAAATATGAAAAAGTTGCATAGAGTCTGTTTAATAGATGTTGCTGTAATCCTGATTTTAATCTCCAATTCTGATTAATGTGCTTCTGAGTGGATATTTCGACTCCTGTCCCATGCTTGTATTGAACACATCACACCCTGAGAGTGCAGCACTGGCTTCTCTGCTCTTGGGGCTTTTTAGCCTAACAGGATTGCTTTGCATCATTTATACGTTTGTGGACTTTGGCACAAAAGGGCCTTAAACAGATAAATGTTAGTGTGGTTTAAATGCCCTGTCACGGAGGCTCTGAAAACAGATTAAACAATGGTATTTGTTTTAGGGCTGCAACAAACGATTATTTGGATAATCGATTAATTGGATGGGGTCTCGACACGATTAATCGATTAATCGGATTACATGGGGAATTTTTTAAAAACTGCTAGGGAAACGTTATTTCTCTCCTTCCTTCACTTTATTTAACACAACATTATTAGAAAACAGTTCAATAGCAGAAAAACAACATGCCATCACCTAAATTGTCTTATAAGGTGCATAGACAGAGACCCTAAGCTACATCTATCTGTGACCTAAAATGCTTGGTCCAAGTTAAACAGCTTAAGGGCAATTCTCATCTGTTTTGTTTGATCTCATCTGTTGACATTTATTTTAAATGTAATTAAACATAGGCTGTGAATTAATCAAAATTGATCACTATTTCCAAAAATGACTGAAAAAATACCAAATAAAACAAAAGTAAACGAATGCCATCCTCCTTGCGATGATGCCCTGGGCAACTGCCATAAAGTCACATCAAGAAATGCTGCTGATCATTCCAATGATCCCAAATAGACTCACATTAGGCCACATGAAAGCAACTGAACCCAAAAATATATTAACCAGTAAATAACTGCACTCTCACACAACACGCCTGCAGCAACAGTTAGGACTCCTCCCTCCCTTTTAAAAGTGTTTTTGCTTCCGAGGACATTGTGGTTGTAAAACCACATGCTAGTGGTCTGGCCCCGGTGTGATCAACCAGTTTCTGCGGGAATGTGACGGCGGAACCAGGGCCAGATTAACACTTTGTTGTACCCTGGGCAACAATATTCAAGGGCTCCATCATCACGACCCAAGGATCACCATAATGTGGTCACATACAGAATATTTTACTGTAATATGCAGTAAATATACTCAATACTTGAATGCCTGACAACACGTAACCCGCCCAGAGTAACCTTTGACCCACCTCGTGTGGACTGACCAATGAGGAGAGGGTCTTAACTTGAGGCCCTCTCTTCATTGGTCAGTCTGCATGAGACTGACTCTCAACTGACGTTCAGTCGTAGGCAGCGAAGCGTCTCTGTGCAGTGCAAAAGCCCGGGTGGACAGTTTGTTTAATATAGGGTGACCATATTTCCATTTCCAAACAAGAGGACAGGGGATCTGTGCCTATGACGTCACAATATGGCAACGCCACACAAACCATGTTGGGACCCATTTTTTGTAAGAACTAAATTAACATCAGATTCTGCCAATTAAAGGGCTCTAAAACAATTAATATGTAAATATTTTGCATATTTAATGCAAAATCTAATTTTTCTGCTTTAGTGCTGCAACAAGGTTTTATTAATAATAAATTATTATACCTTTTGTTTTACTACAGCATCGGTAAGCTTCCTGTGCACAGATTATCAAGGATGCTTGTTTCAGCTGTGAGATTAGACGATAGGATCAATGAAAAAATAAGTTGTCGCACACTCCATGGAAACTTTCAGATAATCCACAAATAGTGGCTTTCAAATGGTTTTGTTACTTTTTGCAAGTTAAGAAAAGAAGCAGATGAGACAGCATGTCTGATAATTTAGTTTTTCATCTGATAATATTAGAACATGTCAGTAATGTCTGAGGGGCTTTTATAAACACTGTATAACTAACACTACTGGAGAGGGCATGAATTACACAGAGGCTTCTGGGGAGCCCAGTTATGGGGGGGGGGGGGGGGGGGGCATTTTGCCTTGGCCCCCAAAATGTCTTGAAACGGCCCTGGGTGTGTGACTGAGTTTTGAAGGTGATCTGAATTGTATCAGATGTATAAATATAACATGTGTATAACTTATTGTTTTTTACTGGTAAAAACGTGTAGTGGAGATAAATCTACCTACATTTGACTTTTCAACACTTTGTTTTGTTTTCTTGTTTTTATTTAACTATTTTCCTGTCCTGTCTGTCTCTCATCTTCCTGCATCTCCTCTTAATTCTCCAGAAAATCTGTTGCCTGGATTCTTACCTTTTCACCTCATCGGTTACTTTTGAGCAGATCAAAGAGATCTCCTGACCGAAAAGCTCAGAGCGCGTTTTCGATGCTGCGTGAGGTGACATCACCACAGCACAGGTGATGAGCTCCGCAGTAGCGAGCTTCAGGCACAAATAAGACAGAAAATAGAGAACATGTGCGGACATGAACGATCGTGTGCAAACTATAGTTTTTTGGTTGCGCCACTTTGAGAATGGACCGTGCGCTGGAAGCAGCTGCCTGGATCGTTGCGCAACAATGCGGAACCGGTTCGCAGCAGCGCAAGTCTGCAGGCTCTCCCTCGCGCTGATCTGCCGGTACCGGCTCTCCCTCACGCTGATCTGCGGCTCTCCCTCGCGCTGATCTGCGGCTCTCCCTCGCGCTGATCTGCGGCTCTCCCTCGCGCTGATCTGCGGCTCTCCCTCGCGCTGATCTGCCGGCTCTCCCTCGCGCTGATCTGCGGCTCTCCCTCGCGCTGATCTGCGCTTCTCCCTCGCGCTGATCTGCCGGCTCTCCCTCGCGCTGATCTGACTTGCTCTGGTCTGCGCGCAACGGCGGGTGGGAAGGGGGGGCGCTTTTGGAAGAGTTGTGCGACACAACGAATCGATGACGCAATTCGTTGCCAACGCTTTTAGTAATCGATTTTCATCGAATTTATCGATTCGTTGTTGCAGCCCTAATTTGTTTAGACCTCTCATATTTTAAAATCTTTTTTAATGCACTTGTCTTAATATTTGGTGTCGTTCTTGTTGACAAAAGTTCCATTCAGTCATGATGAATGGAGAATTGCTAAGTGTGTTTAACGATTTTGTGCATCCAAAGCTTCACATCAGGAGAGTGGATGCTTAGTTATTCTACATCCTTTGGGCTTTTATACATAGCTGTTATTTTAAAATTTGTTTTAAAGAACACACTGTTTAATTAAAGGCCTAAGCTTTCTTGAGGGAATGCACATTGCACATAGCCTAGAGATCTAGACCAACCGGCAGGACAAAAAGATTTTGCTCTGCAGGTTGGTCTAGCCTCACTTCATTGTAGCCTCAGCAGGTCTACCATTGACCTAAGCAATCTTGTTTCTTGCTATTCACAGTGCTCTATGTCTGTAAAAGATGTTGGGCGGGCTTAGCACCAGGGCTGCGATGGAGAAAAACTACAAAGATGGCGTCAATATCTATGTCTATAGGAACAGCGCTTGTTTGAAATGGCCTTGGCATCAACTTTTGATGATTGTCACTCGGGCTTTTCTCTGAGACATGACCAGATGGAGGTTCCTAAGTCACGATGTATTTGTTTCTTCTTCTTCATCTTTTTCTATGTCGTCGATGGTGTGTAGCGGACGGCCCCATTAACTGATTGCCATGAATACATCAGGTTGTTTGTTGCTCTGATTGGTCCTAGACCAGACCATAATACAACATGAATTATGGAGGGGTTTCCACAGCATTGTTGGTGTTGGGAGTTTAAAAATGCATATTTTAAAACCGTGTCAATGCTGCTTATTTTCATTTTCTTCTCATCCATCTTCTCCAGCAACTCATCCAATCTTACAAAAGCTGGTTGTTGGACAATGTCAGCAGAGATATCATTTCCCATTGGGTTAAGCCAATCAGCCAATTCCGAGTACTTACCCCAGTATAGTAACTCTGTTGGAAAGTGGTCCTTTCAGGCCTGCCCTGGGAACAGAAAACGTGCATGTTGAGAAGGTCTAGTACATCTGGAATTTAAATTGACGGTGTGTATTTTCCACTTGTTACAAATCAGTAAATGCCTTTTGTCCTCATGGGCTCCTGTAGAAGGAAACATGGCATCTAATATGGCGTCACCCAGACACTTAGGCTCAATCCCAATACTCGCACTGCACTCTGCGGTCTTCAGCAAAGTGCGCAGTAACGCTTCGAGTGCGTGGTACACAAGTGTGCAAATAATTGCCGAATTGAGACTGGGAGCACTGGTCGCTGTGCTATTATTTGTTTAAACTTTAACAACTTTCGAGCAATCAAACTATTATCTGAAGTATGTTTACATTTGTTGCTGCTTTGTCTAAACGTTTTAGAGCATCAACTAACCATCCTAAAATGAACTACCGTATTGACCCGAATATGGGACGACCCAGATTATAAGATGACCCCCCCCTTTCCAAGACTAATCTTCAGGAAAAGAAAAAAAATCACGTTTTAAATCAAATATTTTTATTGACAATTTGGGAACAAATACTGATAAAAAATACTATTTTAATGCAAACCATCAGAGCTTTGCTGAAATGTGAAATCAAAAGTCAAATGAGGCTTTTATTCACATTTTTGGGCACATCCTCTGCCTCGCTCTACTCACTCACTCATGCTGCTGCGAGGTGTCCCATCAGGTCGCTGCACCTGCCCATTCCTCCCATTGAACATCATCCTCACTGCCATCTAATACATCCATGCATGCAATGTCCGACGCCTCTGCTGAATTGACCACCGTCATCTTAAAGTTCGCATAACTCTGCCTTAGTAGCCCCACTTTCGGTCCACTCTGCTCCGGACCTTTCTCCTGTAATGACTCCAGACAAATATCAGCATGTGAACGCTTACCCTGGGTTTCTACAGGAGCCGTCAGCAGCACGTTACTGCAGCAGCACGTCTTGCTCGCGTAAACTGCTGCTTGGCCCTTCCCACGAGACGCGAAGCAGCAGGGGAGCAGCTGTCACCGACCGAGCACGAAGTCACACGAGTGACTTCGTCAGTAAACACAACAACAAGCAGGAGAAAACTACAACATGCCTCCAAAAGGTTGTGTTTTATGTTCTGTCCGTTTTATAATTGCCAATACGGACCTGAAAAACAAAGGAGACCGCTAGCTAGGTGATAACTTCTCACGGAGCCGCACAGTTAGTAACCTTTTTTAAAGTAAAGCAACCGGAAGGCAGTACGTTCTTTATTCTGAAAATCTCGGGAGCTTCTCTCCATTTCCGCGTCCGATTTCCTGTCGTTCCTTCCCCAAAAATGTCGAACTTGACCCGTTTCAGAGGCGTCGCGCGTAGAAAATAGAACCGGCGCGTAAAGGCCGCGACATGCTGCTCCTGAGACGCGGCCGACTCGCGCTGCTGACGGCTGCCGACGGCTCCGGTGGAAAAGGTTCTGTTGACCACAGCGGTTCCTATCAGCAGCTATGACGTGCTGCTGCAGTAACGTGCTGCTGACGGCTCCCGTGGAAAGCCGGGGTGAGATCCCGATTATAAGACGAACCCACATTTTCAAATAATTTTCAATGAAAGAAACCTCGTCATATATTCGGGCCAATACGGTACTTTAATTAGAAAAAGGGGCGTGATCAACTTCCGCTTTTGATAATCGGGACACCCCAGGCACTCGCACCCTTGATCGGGATCGCGCAATTGGAGGGCACAAGTATGGAAGTGCGAGTACTGGTATTGGGCCTACGACCTGCTCATGTGTCTTTTAGACCTGATTTTTATGGTTCTATGTTACAAAGCTGCCATTGTTTTTTAACAAATGGGCAACATTTAATTTATTTTCAACAAACAACATTTTTAAGGGTATTTCCAGAGATTAACTGTAAAAACTACACGTTGTCTCTTTAAAACCAAATAACATCAAACTGACTAGAAATCTTTAACACTTAAAAAAACATTTGACAGAAGATGAGGGGTCCAGCTATGGCAAGCAGCATTTGAATCTGTTGACAGCAATTACTCTGAAACAGAACCATCACTAATACATCCCGATTGGAGGTTCCCGTACCAGCAGTGTTATGATGAGGGACAGGAATTCACGTCAGCAGACAGACAATACCTTCCAGATGAATGTCTCTGTGTCAGACGTGTTGCTGTCAGCAGCAGACACACAACAAACCCTTATAACAGTCTCATCTGTTCAAACCCAATGAATGGACGGAAATGAGATGTTCCATTGATTCAGGCAGCTGCATGTTTAAGTTTTAGACTTGTTAACATTTCATCACATCCTTCTCCAGCACAGAATAAAGAGTTTAGATCTGCAACATCCAAGCGCTTGTTTGCACAAGAAGGATTTTTTTTTTTAACCCAAGGGCGATTTTGTTTGAAATCAACGCTCAAAATCTGATCTGAAATACAAACAAATTCCAAGAATCCACTGAACACCTCAGGCTTTTCAGCCATGTGCATGTAAAGATCCACACAGCAAACAACTGGGAACATGTTAAAGTTTAGTGATTAAAGACACTTTCTGGCTCATTTTCACATCATTATTTCAGCAATCAAGCATTTGGCTGGAATAACAAAAAGACGAGCTTCATTTTTAAATAGCCTCTTAGCATCACCCGGTGGGTTTTCTTTTCTTTGTTTTTTTTTTTTAGAGAAACTAAATTTTACAGTGTTTGTGTCAGATCCCCTTCAGAGAGTGGCAACAGAAGACATTAAAAAGTCTTTCAGATCAGCTTCAGTAAATGAACTGACTTGAGAGAGAATGGCTTTCATGTTCACTACTGTTTGGGGGAAGGTTTGAAACTGTGCAGTTTTGTTCTCCTTCTAGTGAGATGTAAATTTCAAAGACCAGCCATTATTCTCTTTGGGTTACGGACTTGGAATAACAATGTGCGTAAACAAATGCGTTGCTTTCAGATTGTCATTATTGTTGTTTTTCTCATCTATCTGCTGAGAAGCAAGGGAAGATATTTCCTCCTGAAATCAACTTTTTTTAGGGTTTACACAAAATCCTTCAGTTTGGGGATTTTTAAAAATTCTTTAAATGCATCAGAAAATAAGTTTTCTAATTTGTTACAAACAAATCCAGTAAAACTGCAGCAGTTTTATAAAAAGGAACATGTTATTATTTTATATGTTGTAATTCTAGTATGTGTTGGTGACAGTGAAACTATTAAAGGTGTGGAACACTGAAAACCCTTTTTTAATTATTATTTATGATTATAATGGGTCACTGAGTTTTTTATGCTGCCTGAACATGAAAATAGTCTCCTACACTTATCTTGTTCATTAGCTTATGATAGAAAATAGACAAACTCTAGGATTAGAAAAGTTTGACAGATCTACGTCACACTGTCACATAACATTCATGGACTCACCCATCTGGACTCACGGCAAGGAAGGCAGTTGTTTTAACATCTGGGAATCAGCCAAGGACATCTCGACTAGCAGAAACTAACGTTAGCATTAGCAACTTCACCACATAGCAGAAGCTCCTCCAGGTTTACTTTTGGAGATAAAACATCAGCTTGCAAGTCAGTAGTAGTAGTTTGCTGTTATCAAATCTGAGGTGAGGAAATAAGTCTCCAAAACCTGCCGTCTGAAGCTCAGCTTTGATGCGGGTCACTGGTAAGCTCCTAGAAATGGTGCACAAGTATATTTTTCCCCAGACAACGACTTACAAGGCATTAATTCCAACTGGAGACCACTGAGCAAGATATGGAGCTAGTTGAAATCAGAAACAGCAGATACACAATAATTATGACTGTACAATCTCTGATATTATGATAACAAAAGGCAAATAATTTTCTTGAATAAGCTATGGCTGTTTCAAATCTACTGACATGTCTAACTCAGTGTGGGGTCCACATTACTAATGCTTCACCCACTCAGGAGTTTGCTGTGTCATTAGACGCAACACAGTGGTCACTATAGTCTGATGTTGCCGTACAAATAAATGAAGAATTTATTGTCTTTTGTGTAAAAAAAAACCTAACTTTATTCCATCCACCCCTCCCTTCCTACACAAATTTCTATACATCCCCATGCAATCAATGCCAATTTTGGATTATTGCAAATGTCAGTCCACCTTTTTAGGTCAGTTTACTGCTTTTGAGAGCATACATTGGTCGTAATTGATATTCTGATATTCTGGCATACTGAATTTAGGACTTTCAATAGTTGTCAGTTATAATCAAAAATTGAAAGAAAGAAACATTTGAAACCAGTCTCTGTGTAATGAATGAGTCTAATAAACAAGTTTCACTTTTTGAATGGAATTACTGAAATAAATCAACTTTCTCATGATATTGTAATTTTTTGACCAGCACCTGTAAGGCCTGTTTCCACTATCAGACCTGCACAGTATGCGCTTGTCTCCATTTTCTGGGCCATTTCAGCGACCCTCCGAATACCTGAGCTGGGGAATGAATGGGCTGGTAGAGTCTCCGAGTCAAACTTGGGACTGCATGCAGCTTGGTTGTAACTCAGGGGGAATGATATCAGCAGATGTTGCCAAACAACTGGCACTGATGACATGGAGTGGAAGAAAAAGAAAATAAGCAACGTTCATGCTGCCTTTAAAATGGCATTTGTACACAGAGAAATGTGGCAGAAATCCCTCTACAATGCTGGTATTAATGCTGTGTTGGTCACCTAGAGCACTGTTAAAAACTGCAGCTTGCTTCACCAAAGCAGAGGCAGAATCAGGGAGCCTTTGGTCATTCCGAAGTTGTCAGCCTGTGTAAACAAGCTGACATGACCATGTTATTTTCACAAAAGATTATGTGATGGTGGTATAAAGGGGTTGTCGGGTGGTCTCTGCGTTGTCAACCCGCTGTTGATCTGGTGACCTTTGCTTCAGCTCTACTGGCCAGAAGCTCCCGGCTCTCTGCATTGCTCCAGTTGGCCATCTCAGCAGATTCTGTTTACAAATGCAAAAGGGACTTCCCACGTTTACTTGTATTTTACATATTGTTGCTGGCCGGTGTTCCGTGAACATTCCACATGCCATCATGACAACATCTGTTGAGCACAGGCACAATCTTCATTCACAAATCCGGTGTTGTGGTAATATCGAGCTTAGTGGCAAGAATGGCCCAAAACTTTCGCCACACCATGCCACCAATGTGCATTTAATCGCGGCATGGTGCTGACATGCTGCCACAGTCTTTTGAAATTAGCTGGTGTTTCTTCTGGTCATTGAACGCTACTTCTTATGTCACACTAAGGCTGGGCAATCTTTCAATAATGATATATATTGATCAATAGACATGTGCAAGAAAAACCCCCAATAAAAACATGAAGCTCAGGAGGGAGAGCGGGTTGTCCAATAATCAGAAGGTTGCAGGTTTGATCCCGGCTCAGACCCGAGAATTCTGCTGTTGTGTCCTTGGGCAGGACACCTAACCCACCTTGCCTGCTGGTGGTGGTCTGAGGGACCAGTGGCACCAGTGCTCGGCAGCCTCGCCTCTGTAAGTGCACCCCGGGGCAGCTGTAGCTACATTGTAGCTCATCCCCACCAGCGGGTGGATGTGTGTGAATGGCTGAATGACAGATTGTGTTGTGAAGTGCCTTGGGGGGTTGTAGAACCCTAAGAAGGTGCTATACAAATACAGGCCGTTTACCAAAAAAATTCCTTTTTCCATTATAGCCTATCGGGTAGCGTGATACTAGAGTCATTACTTACACCGCAGAAACACAGAGCCAAGCACACTCCGTCACCAAGCCCTCCCCTCTCAAACCTAAACAGACAGCAATGTGACTTAAGCAAGATGCTGCAGCAAGGAAAGGCAGAAGAAATATTCCAAAAAAAAAGGTTACAGTTCTTCACTAGTGTGGTAAATCTTTCATACAAGTCTGACAAGAAACAAACAACAGTGGTTTGCAAAATTTGCACAGAATAAAGTCTGGTAGCCAACCAACCAAATCGTTCTATCATCAAGTAATGACATAAAATGGCCAGGGCACATTTACATATTTTCTACATTTTCTTTTATAAGTTTTCAATAATTATTGATATTGATCAATATGATTATTTTTATCAATAAGCTTTTTTTTTATATCGTCCAGCTCTATGTCATGCAGCTGCTCTGCTGGGCCCCTGAATGGCTTAAACGACTGGTCCGTAGACGTCTTTTGGTGCACATCGCTGCCGATACATTTGGGATATAGTGATGTCTTAGCAAAGTCGTGAAAGGGACGGTTTTGTGTGGAGGCACAATGGCTGAAAGAACTGAGCCATTGTATTTTCCCTATCACCATCCCCCTTTCCAGAACTCATATATTGGAAACAGTTATTATTCCCAGATCTTTGGGTTTATCAGATTTACAAAGTGAAAAAAAAAAAACTTATTTTTTTAGCCTTTTTTTTATAATGCACAGAAATAAAATCACCATATTAACTATGTACTGCCCTTTCCACCTTCAGCTGGTCACAAAGGTTTTATTTGAGCTCATACTGCTTCTGCATTATGAGCAGGGAGGCGGTTTGGGTTAAATGCTTCAGGGAATTCCAATTTGAATAAAAGATAACGATGCATAACATCAATAATTCATGTGTACAGGCTCTTTTAGAGGTCTGTTGAGCCACGTTAATGACTGAATGGTGTCGAATAAAGTCTCCTCAACTTTCTGTACATGCTTTGTGAAGCTTGTTCCTCTGTTATATTGGTGATGAGTTTCTCTGCTTACTTTTACACATAATTAACATGTGGTATATTAGCATATCAATACAGGCAAACATTACCAAAGATATTTCTGACATTAAAAGCCTTTACTGCATGCCACCTTTCCTGTCAGAGTCTTAAATTAAGATCACTGAATTAGAGGTGCAATAGAAGCATATTGTAGTACCATATATATATATAGATAGATAGATAGATAGATAATTCTTAATTTCTAATGCCAATAGAAACTAATACCAATTTATATTTTAATTTAATTTGAATGCTTTATTGAAAACAAGATGATCAATCTCAAGGGACTATTCCTCTTACTAAAAATATAGTAAAGATATGTGGGGTCCTCCTCTGACAAAAAAAAAAAGAAAGAAGACAAACTCAATTTTAAGTAACTAACATCACATCCGTCTTATGATTCATGCTTCATGTTGAAACATCATCAGTGCAGAAATATGGCAGTTACTTCAATTTAAGTCAGCCAGTTGTGCCAAACAAACAAAAATTCTCACATCTATGTCTCGGATCTGTCCTATTTTGACTTATGTGAAGGTTGTGTCATTAAAAGAGTTCAAACTGTTAGGTTCTGATATTACATTTTAATGCTATTATCAGCAGATAATAATGGTTGTCTGATGATCGGATATTGGATAACATCGCTACAAATGATATATTTTCAATTTGTTGGTTCGAAGTGTGCTTAAAAAATTAGCTTTATTGAATCTGTCTGAACTTGTTTTGTTTATTTTGCGGTTTTTATGGTAAAGATCACAAAAACAATCCTAAAATGATGAAACTCTAATTCAAGTAGTCATTTCTAGGTACACAGGAGCTAATAATAATAATATTTCTTTTACTAATTTTCATTGTTTTTTCCAGGCATGCACCATGCTGCGAGCCCATCAACCCATATTATGTCAACACCGGCCATGTTCTGGCTCCAGCCACCAGCGCCAACGATAGTGAGCAGCAGAGCGTGTCCAGTGACGCAGACACACAGTCTCTCACTGACAGCAGTGTGTACGTAACACACACACACACACACACACACACACACACACACACACACACACACACACACACACACACACACACACACACACACACACACACACACACACACACACACACACACACACACACACACACACACACACACACACACACACTATTGTTTTCCAACTGTTTAAGGAGCAGCAAGGCTTTTATCCAAACTCTTCCAGATTTGCACAAAATTGTGTTTGAAGCTAAAAGGCTTGATCCTGAGCTCCCAGCACAAGAGAGAGAGTAAAAACCAGTATGACCTTTATGGAGTTATACCGTCATGCAGGTAAAATCATGTAGCAGTGATCGGATTAACCACTTGTGGTGCAGCAGGGACGCCGGACCCGTGCCGCTGCGCTGGATAACAAAAGTTGTTTTAGGTGTTTCTTTCAGGCTAAAATGCTGTGAGAAACTTTCATCTTCAAAGCTGCCTCTGTTGTTTATTCATGAGGATGTTTTATGAAAATGCCTTTGTTCTTAATTCCAGAGATGGAGTTCCACCCTACCGATACCGCAAACAGCATCGCCGAGAGATGCACGAAAGTGCCAAAGCAAATGGGCGAGTGCCACTACCTCATTTTCCAGTGAGTTATTCACGGTTTATTTCCCCTTCCCTCTCACTTTCCTCCTCTACACCTCTCTCTTTGTAACTGTCTGTCTCTGCCTAAATTTCTCTGCTTCACCATTGGAGATGTGCATATTTAAGCTCTGCTGTGTCGTGCCGCCTGTGATGGAGTATAAGAATAGCTGATGGTGAAAGAGAAGGTTGTCTAAATGCAGCTTGATGCCTGCCTAAGCTCGCTGAAGCCTAGCAGACATGATTCCTGCTCCGTGACAGCCTCGTGCCTCCCTCTGCAGCTCCCGTCGTAGGAGAACCTCGGCCCTAATTAGGCCTGCGAGTAAAGTCGAATTAAAATCCTGTTGCAGTGTGTGAGTATACTATAAAGTAATGTGTCAGTCCCAAAACGGTAACTCACATTTTTTGCACAAATAAATTCTGGCTTTGTTAGCTGGAAGAATAATGAATGAGCTTGGAGGTTTCTTAAAACTGGTTCCTGATCAGGAGTGAACCGCTTTGAATAAACATGACTGCAGCACTTAGAGGAGGTAAGGCGCAACGCTTGAGTCTTTATTAAGAAGATTATACATGCAGGCTGCGTAAAATCTTTGTTTTCATCACCTTGTTAGGCTAATGTTTGAAGTGTAAAATGAAGAATTGTACCATCAAATGAGTTCATGTGCACTAAACCATACCTCCGCTGAACCGTCCCCTTCTAGCATTGGGTTAGCTTAACACATTTTACTATCTCTTATAATACATTTCATTTGTACGAAGCCATAAAATAGGCTTTATTTACCAGTTCATGCTTCATTATGAAGTTTTTGGTTAAACGCGGCACGTTTCAGGTGTGACCCCTTAGTGTGTTGGTGCGCTAAAGATAGGGTTGGGTTTTATTTTTGATGTAACACGCATCCAGATCATGTCAGGTGCCACCTTTACCATAGGGTTAAACAGCACTTCACACACAGTATCAGTGTAAGGCATTTGGTATGTTTCAAAATAAAAGACAAATTCAGATCTGCGAGTCTATGGAAACTTCATGTCTTTATCGGTGACCAAAGGGCTCCATTCAGTGTTTCCCCTAGGAATTTTTACATTTGGGGGGGGGGGGGGGGGAGATTATGACACGTCTCTAAACAAAGTAAAAATTTCTAGTGCAGATTGGAGACAACCCATAGAAGCACTGATTTGATCTCATTTCAGAGAAAAATAGAACAGGTCAGATGCACCTAATAAATACAATTACTAACAAACTCAGGAATCTTTCTTTGCTTCACTGTTCTGGTGCTGAAAATATCACTCATGCGGATCAAAGGAGATACACAGATGAATGCACCTCTTATTTATTATTTGGAGACTACATTTACTGCAGCTGGCAGAGGCAGAGATTTTTTCTATTGATGCACGGAGTTTACAGAATCGTTTTAAATTTTAATAGGGGAAGACTGCAGGAGGGAGCAGTAAAATACAGGGGGTCCCCAGCAAAAACAAGAAACTTTACGAGTCTGATGAAACCCGTTGGTTTTCCATCAGGCAGTCACGGGGCAGCTCCAACGACCCAGTGGCTGTGCTGGGTCAATGTTATCGAGCCCAGTCCGGTACCGGCTCGGCCGTGAACTAGCCGAGGCGACGTCGTGCTCTGCTTAAGAAGAGGTGTTATTTTCCCGCTTCAGAAGAAGCGTCCAACGTGTTTTTACGCTTTCTCCGAGACATGTCACGTCGCTAAGTTGTTAGCGCCGCGCGCTAACACGTCAATAGTGCAGCGTAGCCTGCTGGAGGTTTTAAGGGTTCCGATGAAAACACCCGACCTCTCAGGCTGCTCACACATCGATCTTAAGTTGTCGCTGTTGCGCTCACGCCGTAATACAGTATTAGATGTGGTTAAAGTCAGACATGAAAAAATAAATAAATTTTACATGAATAAGTGATGCTTAGCCTGGTGGGGGGAGGAAACCCTGTCAAGATCGTCAACACTCGTTTATCTTAATGCTTTTGAAACATGTAAACCAAAAAGCATTATATCCACTGCTACCTTTCTAATTTTAAACTCAGTAACTTATGCTGTAACTTCACCTCGCCCTGCCTGCTCCTCCTTGCTGCCCGCTGTGATCACAAGCGACAACATAGTAGTTCCCGCTGCTTCTTCGGGAAACAGCGCCAAAACAAAAAAATAAAAACTTGGGATCTTGTAGGCGTGGCGGTGGGATTTCAGCCGTGGCAGGCTGCCACGGCTACATCTTTGTAAGGGAAACCCTGCCATTGCTTCTACATCTATTGTAGGGAGCATCGGTGTAGCATGAACCATGAGACTATTATCCTGGCAGTGGAGAATCGCAACACTATTTATGACCTATGACATCACCAAAAAGGAGAAAGTATGGACAAAATTATACGGAATGGATGGTGAGTTTAGCAAATTTATATTAAAAAGCTATTTTTAAGGTTATAACGTCATTTCTCCTGTGAATTTGTGATCTTGTGAGACCAACACGCACCATGGGACAGCTGCCCCGCGGCTGAAACGCTTCTGGGGGGATTAAAGTGCTCCCAAGCCACGCCGCTGCCGTAACACGCTGCGCTCACACGTCATGTAAATTGGGAATTAGAGATAAATGACAAATACTCCTTACTTTCTTAAAAAGAAAAAAAAAAACACAAGAACATAGATGGTTGATTATAATTTTATTAAGGTGCTCTTTAACCTTTTTAACCTGCCATTCCTTCATGTTCATCAGCTGATTCTGAATGGCCTTCGCCATTAACACCGACCTGGGTGATGTCAACACACCGATGAGATCCTCTAATGGGCTGATCGGAGGCAACAGATCAGCACATATTATATTCTTGTTAATTCTGGCACTGAAAAGATGGAGGCAACCTCATTTTATTTTTATTGTCTTTCTCCTGTTGGAACTTTTTGCAAAAATGTGCACGGAAATGCGCTAAAGCTGCTCGCAGCTCAAGGTTCAAGTCATACTTGGCGAGAGTTACGAGGGGATGCTTTGGAGGTTTCGGACCATTAGCACAAACGTGAAAACAGAAACTGTTCCCTCTGCAGTGAAAGAATGCCTAGCTCATTGATTTCTGGGTGTGATGCAGTGTTAAAAAGATCCAGATTTTCCTGACCGCTGCTTACAGTTGGACATTTCCTCCTGCAGCGCACCAACCGGATTCCTAAGGATATTCACGTGGAGCCAGAAAGGCTCGCCACGGAGCTGATCCGGCGGCTGGAGGGCGTCCTGAGGGAGAGGGAGGCTCGGGAGAAGCTGGAGGAGCGACTGAAGAGAGTCCGATTGGTAGGATCACTTTTTTTTATCGTTTCTGGAAGAACAAGCGGATTCAGTGTGATTCCCTTTAGCGTGTCTGAGGGAGTGATTGTTTCACACTGAAGAGCATTGTCTTCCAGCTCAATTGCAGTTAATGTAGTACAACACGGGCAGCACATGGACACAGCTGTGTGATAAGGAACTATTAAAGTCATGTGTGCTGATGGGAGCGGCCTAGCAAAATAATCTAACCCTAAAAAGTTAGATTTTAAGCTACCATAAGGCAACATCAAAGAATACCTTTTCCACTTTATTAATTTTAATTGCCTTAAATAAAAGACTGATTTAGTAAGCTGACTGTAGGTGAAGTATCAGTGGAGGCCAACAGACTCGGTTTGTGAGCCTGACAGTTGGAGGTGCGCGCCTGGCCATAAGGTTTATCGTTTTCAGAAACAAAGGAACCTTAAATCTGTCGGTCCTTAATGAAACGAATGAGGCCAGCCGTTTGAGAGGGCAGTGAAATATCCGCGATGAATCGCTTGGAGAGTTCTGGCCTTGGCCTGTCAGCAATCTGGCTTTGTGGATGAATCAGATGGAGCACCTGCATGTTCGGACACTCGTAGGCCTGGAAGAGTGAGCTGCCTGTTTGATGCCACTTGAACGCTGATGAAAAGCTTGCTGTCACCACAAACAAAATCCCCCTCAGTACTCGGTGCCAAGTATCGAGTCTCTAGGTGGACAGTTTATGTGGCAGCGGCTGAAAGGAAGGAAGCAGCCATCACAGAGCTTTAGGTTTGCTTCATGAAAACTTGGAGGCAAAGATGCAACGACTGCTTTCAGCGAGCAGTTCTCCAGGCGTCAGGAGGAGGACATGTGAGCTTTGGTTTCAGCTTTTTAAACAGCAGTAAGGTCTGAAGGGTTTAACTGAGAGATGAGCTGTTTTAGAGTGGAAGGAAGACCTTTCACTCTCAACAGTAATAATGCCTGTTACATACAAATACACCCAGATGAAGTGATTTAAGAAGGTAACTTCATCTGAAAGAAGGAGCCAAAATCACTTGTTTATGCTTAACTTAAATGGTCAAATGTATTACATTGACTGCAGCAAATTTTTTAACTGAATTATTTATTGTCTAATATAAATTTAAAAAAATCACATAATATTCAGATTAAATGTATTATGTCATTATTTAACAATATAACTAGGGGTAGACGATACATTGGTCAGCCAGTGTAACAGGCCAGCGTCTGTTCTGTTTAAAGTCAGGCGCGTCCTCGGGCAGCCTGGTGCTGTTGCAGAATTTCATTTAAATGTATTTTTACTTTTACTAATAGCATCTGAAAACTCTAAATTTACTTTATTTAGGTGTCTGACTTTAACACTGAGCAGTGCATAAATTTAAGTTTTAACAGTTAGTTGAATTCGGAGTTCAAAAACCTATCCAGCTCCAGATATTTTGTGTATCAAACGATGTCATTGTTGACATTTTAGCACGAAAATAAGATGGAAAAAAATCTGGAGATCGGCCCATAAAAATCGGCAGTACATATGGACTATCGGCTGACCGTGTCTCCTACATATCGGCACCTGTATCAGCAATAGACCAGTGACGTGCAGTCAGAAGGAGGCATGCCTCCCTTGCCATTGTAACAAATACATTCTCTAATATTGATTTAAGATAAAGTCAGTGTATCCAGTGACTGCTACACATTAGGTTTCTGTAAGATATCATCACGTTTATGGATCTACCCGTTTCCTGATCAAATATGCATGCAGAAGCGAGAGGAGAGTCAGTGACGAGCCTGACTCTGCTCTCACAGACCCGCCCTGCACACACCAACTGATTAAGGCAGAGCGCATGTGTCATCTCTCTGAATCAGGTGTGTGCAGCGGGTGCGCCCCTCTGGAGGCAGAGATGAGAGCTGCCTCTTATTCTCACAGTGCAGCGCCGCAACACACTCACTGAAACGGGAAGGGCCTCCTCTGCCTCCTCTGACCACACGTTCACTGCTCTAAACATAATGCTAATAAACAAATAACGGGCCGTTGCCACCCGTGGATCGTCCACTAGGGGTCAGTAGACATGTGCAGGACTAGATATGCAGGCAGACTGTGTTGAAAGTACTAATCCTGATGTTTCCTTCTGGACACTTTAAGGCCAGGAGTGCTTTGATGCTAAAACACTTGTCTACAACAAATGAAGTTACAGATTGGTTCTAAATAGAGCTGCACAATGTATCGTAAATATATCGTTATCGCGATATTCAGCATGCGCAATATGCATATTGCAAAGAACAGATAAATATCGCAATGAGTGGTCAGGCTCAAATGTTTGCTACACATAATGCATTCTGTCAATCAAACGGAAGCATTATGTTTTTTTTTAACAAATCAAATAAAGCTCTTCTCCCATTTTGGCCAATCGGGTGTGGGTTCTCATAGGTTAGATGCCCGCCCCCCGAGGTGGACGGCACTTACATTGTGATTGTTGCACAACGCTTGAGTTAGCTTTGTTCTGCTCTTTCTATCTGATTCTGCTTTTCCCCAGGATACACTGATTGCCTTTTCTTCTCCCCCCCTCCCCCCCCCCCCCCCCCTCCCTCACATCTTTTGCTGTTCTCATTTTAACTGATATTTTTTGGTCATTTTTTATTTCTTTGTATTTGATCGTTTTTGTTGCTGAGTTAAGTTTTTATATTATCGCAAGTAATATCGTCATCGCAATATTAA